GGCCTGGAGCCGAGCCTGCCGCGCGACGAGCTGCCGGCCCGGCCCTGGGTCTCCTCCCTGGAAGGGGTGGGGGAAAACCAGTGTGGTTCGGGATGAGTTATGAACAACAGTCAGGGAATCACGGTTCGTTTGGCCGACTCTGGCATGCCCTGGCTCCGGCGTTACAGCCTGCAGTGCTGCAGCAGCCCCAGCCCTGGGTTTCCTGTGAGCCAGGTGACTGCACACACCAGGCTGATGTCAGGCAGTAAGAGGCACTTTTGAGATTTATTAGTAACACTAAAAGTAAGGTGCTATGTTGCATGGGTTTGGAGGTTGCTATGTGTGAGAATTTCATAATGCAGTTAAGAGTTGGTGTCTTCAAATTTCCTTTGTGGCAGCTCATAGAAAAGCCAAATTAAATCACTTCAAGTTGTGAGATATAATTGTTGGTGGAAGGCCTGCTCAGCCTTGGGTGGGTTAATCAGTGCCTGACACCCCTCACCACAGGGCCACCCTCAGGTATTAAACTATTCGAGCCCTAATATTTTTCGGAGAGCTGAAGGAAGCTTCTGGATCGGTAACAGCTGACGTGCTGCCCTGCTGAGCTGTGGGCTGCTATGTGCTGGTGGTGCTAAGGAGAGGAGTGAGTGGACATTGAAGCATAAACCCCGTGTTCCTTCTCACAGCTGCAGCTTGTGCGTGCTGTCCTCTCCCATATTTTGGCACCTGACAAGTATGTGGTGTCCTGCTCGGGTGGGGCTTGTGGTGCTCCATTTCTCCAGTGGTTTTGTTCCTTCTTCCAGACTCCTGCAGATTATTACACAGGAGCATTTCCACCAGCACTGGCACGGAGTTAAGCATTTTGTTGCTGGCTGTGGCATGGTTCTGTTGGCTTCACCGACACCCTTACATATACAAGGAAGAGCCACGGACATAGTGGTAGTTGATGCCTGATCTCAGGTAATGTTATTAGTGGATTTAAATAAGATGTTTTCAAGCTCAGCATTTGATCCTTCTTCTTGGCTTTATTTACAAATGGGACATTTTACGTAAGTGCTTCTCTTCCTGTGGAATTACTCTGTAATAATCTGTTTCTGGATGCTCTCATTTGATTTCACTATTAACTTAATCCATTTTAAGGTACAGCAGCGCTGGGAAGAACTCTCAGTGGGAGGCATTATTCAGGGCTAGCTATAGTTCTTGATTTCTTTTTTGTCATGGTGCTTGAGTCTGAATGAGCATCCAGTTACAGGACAGCCCTTGGTGAAAGTCAGTTGAGCTTTCTGTGAAGTTATTTTTTATTTCTACTGCATTGTGCTTAACTTCCATGAGGAGTTACTTTGATGTTGTCTGATTTTAAAACTGAATCTTAACAATGCCTTATTTTCTTTCCAGGTTGAATGTAGAGACTAAACTTCTTCCAGGTGTCCCTCTAAAACATGTATTTCTCCACATAATCTTCCTGATGGAAGACCAGCCAGGGTTCTTTTTCAGCTGTTCATGCTGACTGGCTGCCTGGAGAGGTGGTGAATGAGTGAACAGACTCTCGGTGATGGTGAGTCCTACAATTGCATTTCAAGGCTAACGGCATCTCTGTAGCCTTCTGTGAATGCTCGGGCACCATATTGATGGGCTTTGAACCAAAGAGTGGAGATTTAAATCTGCCTGGCTAACTGCCACATCGCAGACAGGCAGTTTCTTCACTCCCATCTCCTAAAACAGTCATATTGTTTTAATCAAGACTTGCTGAAGTGCAGCTGATTTGGTTCTGTTGGAATACAGTGTGGTGAGCAAGGGGTCTGGAACAGCTGGTAGAAATTCCACTTGCACTTCCTACATGCAGCCACATACGGAAAACCAGAAGTGCCACTTAATATTAGAAGCAAAACTAAGTCTGGAATTACAGAATCACAGACTGGTTGGGTTAGAAGGGACCTTAAAGCTCATCCAGTTCCAACCCCCTGCCATGGGCAGGGACACCTTCCACTAGACCCGGTTGCTCCAGTCTCCGTCCAGGCTGGCCTTGAACACTGTCAGGGATGGGACAGCCACAGCTTCTCTGGGCAACCTGTGCCAGGGCCTCACCACCCTCAAAGGGAAGAACTTCTTAAGATATCATCTCAGTCTCCTGTCTTTCAGTTTAAAACCATTTCCCCTTGTCTTATCACTACATGCCCTTGTAAAAAGTCCCTCTCCAGAATTTGATTATTATTATTAAGAAGCTGTGCCTGGACAAGAGGGCCTCCAGAGGTCTCTTTCTAGCTCAGCCAGTCTGTAACTCCATGCTTCAGTGCTCAGCTGGGAGCAGTAAACAAGCTGTGCTTTAAAAAAAGAGATACTGTGTAATTTCCAGGACCATCTGTTCTGACCCTGACTCTGGGTTTACAGGCAGTATTACCAGTAGCTTGTGATGAAAGCAGCAAAGCTTTCATCAGAGTGTGAAAGTACTGCAGAGTACATAAAGTACTACAGAGTACTTTACGTGCTCTGCGGTAAAGTACAGAGAGCATTCCAAACTTGTTGTTTGTGGTATTTATTTGGTTTGTCTCATTCTTTTCCTAAGGTTCAAATGTGGAAATTGCCCTGGATGTGGTTGCTGCTGCTGCTCTGGGAAAATGCCTTGATAGGGAATTAACACCATTCAGTGATGGGCTGTGGGACAAGCAAAGTGCTTCCTGAGCCTGCCAAAGATGTGCAGCTAGATCTGGTGAAAAAAATTGAACCTTACACAGGCCACAATGACATATACAAGCATTTCATCAAGGATGACTGCAGGATCAAAGCTGTCTCTCCCTCACCTCTGCAGCACACTAACCCATACCCTGGGAACCACTTGCCTGCCCTCTTGGACCAGCCTGAGCCCCGCAAGAACAAAGTGGCTAAATACCGTGCCAAGTTTGACCCCAGAGTGACAGCCAAGTATGACATTAAAGCCCTGATTGGGAGAGGAAGTTTTAGCCGTGTGGTACGGGTGGAACACAAGGCCACCAAGCAGCCCTATGCTATCAAGATGATTGAGACCAAATACCGGGAGGGGAGGGAAGTGTGTGAGTCAGAGCTTAGCGTGCTGCGCCGGGTTCGCCACACCAACATCATCCAGCTGATTGAGGTGTTTGAGACCCAGGACCGTGTGTACATGGTGATGGAATTGGCAACTGGAGGAGAACTGTTTGATCGAATCATTGCTAAGGGCTCCTTCACCGAGAGAGATGCTACACGTGTGCTGCAGATGGTGTTGGATGGTGTGAAGTATCTGCATACGCTGGGTATCACGCACCGGGACTTAAAGCCAGAGAATCTGCTATATTACCATCCGGGAACAGATTCCAAAATCATGATTACGGACTTCGGACTAGCGAGTGCTCGGAAGAAGGGAGATGACTGCCTGATGAAAACCACATGTGGGACCCCAGAGTACATTGCTCCTGAGATCCTGGTCAGGAAGCCGTACACGAACTCTGTGGACATGTGGGCGCTGGGTGTCATCTCCTACATTCTCCTCAGTGGCACTATGCCCTTTGAAGATGACAACCGCACCCGCTTGTATCGGCAGATCCTGAAAGGAAAATACAGTTACTCAGGCGAGGTGAGTGTGCTATGGTGAGGGAAACGCAAGCAAGAAGATATCTATGGATGTTTCTATGTGATGAGGAGAACCTGGCTGTTATGTGCAGGGTGGTAGCATCACCAGGGTTAAAAAACCCCTGTGATTCTGGCTTTTAAAATGCTTTTCTGTTTTCTTTCTGCTTTCCAAAACTGCTTCCAGAGCAGCATAGTGAACTTCTTAAAAAATATGTGCGTAAAGAAAAAAGATACCTCTTCCTGTAGAGCAGAACTGGGATGCTTGTGGGTTTCTAGCTGGGGAGACCTCAGCTATGGTAAGCTGCTGCTTGATACTTTGCTGTTGAAACTCATGCCAGCCTGAGTGTTTGCAGTGTAGTGTGTACATACCTTGTCTGATTTCTGATACAAAAAGTGTAGTCTGAAAAACACCTTTGTTGGAAGGGTTATAGCTGACAAAGGGGCACTTGCTTCTACATCTGGAGACATGAGCATTTCTGAAATCAATCTACATTATTTCCTGAGCTGAGTATGTGATAAACTGGAGGATTGAAGGATAGTTTTCTTGAACAACTATGAAAGGAGGAACCTTGGGAAATAGATTTTAGGCACAAGGTGGGTGCCTGTACTCTCCTAGGGTCCCATCACTTCACCACTGCCACAGCTCGTGTAAACTTGCTTCTGGTCATGGTGGGAGATCTCAGCTATCAGCCACCTCCTTTACCAGCACATTTGCCAAGTATAGGCATAATCTCACTAAAAATCACATGCTGTAGAAAGTGGGGGCATCCAGATTTGCAAGTTGTGCTTCTGCCTATATCCCTCACTGGAAAGATTTTAAAATTAAGCTTTTATAAGCTCTGATAAGAGATGAAGGTGTTTAGATTCCTGAACACCATGACTTTGTGAGGGGAAGCCCACTGAGAAAGTGTTAATGAGTGTCTAAGTTTGTGATTTTGAAGTGACAGTAAGGCAACTGTTAAAAACCCAGAATAAATTAGTGATTGTTCTCATATGTTTATGTGTGACAGGTATATTGGCATTTTAATGATGGATGGAGGGACTCTAACGTATTAAGGTTTAAACATATTAAGCTGCTTTAGCATTGCTTTAGCAATCCTAAAGCATTGTGCATTTTAAAAAAATGCATCACTCTGCAGGGTTTTCAGAGGTGTCAGTAAGTCTTTTCTGCTTCAAAGCTATCACACCAGCTTGTGTTAATAGGTGGAATAACCAGTTAAATGAAACTGAGGAATGCTGCCATTAGCATAGGAGGCCACTGAGGAAAGCCCAGATTTGACACCTTTGTGAGTCTTGTTATTTCTTCCCATGAGCTCTTCTCAGAAAGTCCCTGGGTGTGCAGAGGAGACATGAAAGTGAGGAGTCATAAACCCCTAAATTTGTTACTTTCTGGACCAAGTGCGTTGCTTCCTTCAGGAACTGGAGTACTTGATTCATTTCTTGCCAAAAGTATTCTGTCAGCTGCTTCCTTGAGCTCCAAGCTTCAGCTGACTTTGGCAGCCTTTTCTGCTTGGTTAATTTGGTTAATATGATTTGTTAACCAGCTGAAGAGTTTTAAGGGTGCAGTTGGGTTGTCCTAATGCAGAGACAGATGAATTACCAGCCACACATAATATCTGCAGGGTCACACTGAAAGACAAAGTCCTGGTTACTGTATAACCCGTGATGGCAAATCTGTCTTGAGCAACCTGGTCTAGTGGAAGGTGTCCCTGCCCATGGCAGGGGAATAGAACTGGGTGAGTTTTAAGGTCCCTTCCAAGGCAAACTACTCTGTGATTCTATGATTCCAGGACAGGTTCTGCCTGTTACTGCAAAATTTGGTAATTCTGGAGTCTTATAAGCAAGTGGTGGCATATAAGTTTGACACCCAATTAGTTATGCCGATGATACTGAGCCGCTGAGGTTAAAAACAAACATGAGGAAATCGTGAGAGACTGTGTGATATATTGGCTGGTGTTTGGTGTGTACAGACTTGAACTGGTTCCGTGGGAAGACGGGGACAGTTTGCATTTTCTGTAAATGATTGTGGGCCATGAAGGTGCTTCTTGCTCTTCAGAAGAAGCGGTTTGAGGTTAAGCACTTCCAAATATCATCTTGATATTCATGATCAAAAGCCAGCTCATGTTAGGAGTTAGTCTTAATGTTGCACGTGTCCTTGCTGTGCCATGGAGTGCAGTTCTGCTACTTCTGGAAAAGAAAAACAGGATTGAAAAGCACACAAGGAAGGGTAGTGTAAATAATCAAAGGTCTGGGCTGGCTTCCATTTGAAGAATGGAAGCTGGATGAGGGCCTTTCCTTCAAAAATATCAGTGAGGGGGACCTCTGACCAAACTCAGTACAGCCACGGACAGAATAGGGAGAGTGAACAGAAAAGAAGTTACCCTGGGGTAACTTCATTTGATGTTCTCTGGTCCTTGTGCCAGAACAGAATTATCTTGAGAAATTTAATAACTTCATTGCAACTAGGCCACTGGATGATTGTAGGCTATATATACGTTGCTGTATATATACATAATATATGTGTGTGTATATATATATAGTGTATATACATTGTGTATGTGTGTGTATATACAAAGGTAGCACATGTGCCACAGCAAAAACATTAGACTGTATGTTTAGAAAGTGCCCATGCACAAGCCGGAAGCATTTTACTTGTTATCCCACCACAAATTACATACTTCAGGAGGCTGTTACAGATACTGTGTGTGACATGAGTGGTTGTTTTGCAAAGCTGTAGATGTTTTACTGCTTGGAAAGCAAATATGTGTCAGCCAGTAGCCTGTGTCTTTTGCCCAGATGCTTTCTGTTCTTCTACAGCCAGGGAAATGGATGCTTTAATTTTCCAGTGTAATGAAACCTGTGCCTGTAAATTGCAGGCATGTTCAACTGTAGCCAGGTATTGGCAGGAGATGCAGTAACAGGCTTCCCACTTTCTGAATCAATTTTAGGTGAAAACAAAGTGAGCCAGAGATTTAGAGGAGCCTGGCATGTTTCCCATGGCATCTTAAAGCCATCTTCTGGAGTTATAAATGCTTCCAAATTCCTGATGTTCACAGAAAATTACTGCTCTTTTTTCTTTTTCTTTTTTTTTTTTTTTTTTTTTTGAGTGTGTTTCACTGTAAGGAGTGGAAAGATGTCAGAAATGAGGCTATTGATAAATTCATCAAACTGATGGAAATGGCATGAGCTTTAAGTCCTAGTTTATTTGGGACAAGAATGGGCATAATACCTGACTGAATTGCAGAAGCAGAGATTTTGTGGGAACAACTGCTTTCCTTATCTATAACGTGAACTTTGAAGATGTGAAACAGAAGAGGAAATGTTAAAAGCAGTCTGCAAAGTTCCCAGAGCTGACATTCTGAGTTGTGGGGCTGAGACCAGTTTCAGATTGCAAAAAGGGAGCTGTCTTGCCAGTGATGCTGCCATACTCTGTCATGCAGCAGCAGTGCCCTGAGTTTGCCAAGGATCAGTGCCAAGTCCAACTTCTTGAAAGGTCTGGCCTGAATACCTGGTCAGAGAGGACAAAGCTGTATTGAGAGAGGAACAAAAGCTGAGATGCATGCTGACCTGAGGAGTAGCTCCATGTTCTTGAAAAACAAGTGAGCTCATGGCCAGCTAATGTAATTGCTTTCTGACTGGGACCTTCTTACCACCACTCTCCTGTTCCTGGAGTGTGAAGTCTGTTTGAAGAGGCTATTAGCAGATCAATAGGAGAGATCTCCCATAATAGGTTATTCAGGTACTGCTGACACTCCTGTTCTGATTCTCTTGTATCTGCTTCTGTACATTCTGAGCTGCTTCAGGTAATGGGTAGGGTGAGGAGTGAAGGAAAGCTTGGCTTTGTAACTTGGCATGCTTCTTTTCCTGAACATCTCTGAGTAAGGGTTATGTGGGGTATTGAGACAGCGTTTGATGTAGCCTGCTACAGTCACTTGTTTTGTTAGAACTCACCAAAAAGAACATTTGGAAATATTTTAATTGAAATCTTGGGGATAAAACTGATTTCTGGGGTCTCTTTGTAGCTTAGAAAGTTGTCTGGGAAATAAAGCTGGAATTCCATTCACAGTTCCCTTTGAATCTGAAAGTGCAGAGATGAACATCAGACCACCATTGTCCTGACAGGCTTGCTCTGGTTCTGTTTCAAAGCTTGTCCTTCTTTAGAATACTGGATGCTTTTATGTTGCTTTACACACGTGGGAAACTTGCTGGAAGAAGTGGAAGGTAATACATGTTATGGTTAAATTGGGAAATTGAGCTAGGGTTCATGGATTGTTCTGGTTTTAATATGTTACCTGATTAGATCTTTTCCCCTTGTGGTCTGTTTTGCTATTCATAAACCATGATCAGCTTTTTGTGGTATGTTCACTGTGAGTGAGGTTGGTGTGTGCTGGTGTGGGAACATCTTTTAATCAAAAAACCAAAAAGCTTATTCTAAATATTGGTGCTAGTGGAGACAGATAAGTGGGATGTAAGGTGGGGCATGTTTGATACATGAAGGAAGCTGGGCATTTCAAGTCTGTAGGAGCTCTGCAAGGGACTTAGCAGCCATGCAGAGAGATGATTTGGTTTATGTGGCTTGCTTAGATTTTCCAGTGGTGTTTAATAAAGTTCCTTACCAAAGACTCTTGAAGGAATTTTGCAGCTGTAACATGATAGCAGCCTTTGCATGGACCAGCAGTTTGCTGGAGATAAGCATAAAGCTGAAATACGTGGTCAGTCCACGGGGAAGGGAGAAAGAAACAGTGAAGTTTGAAGGATCTGTTCCCTTTTCCCAAAACTTTCAGGAGAAAGTTTGCTAACAAGGTGTACAGTCACTGATAACAAAGATCTTCAAATGGGGAAAAGCAAAGCTGTGGACCTTAGAAGTTTTTCCGAGTTTGAAGAAGAACTGGACCAATTCATGGAAGATAAATTGTTGGAGAGAATAACACTAAAAAGTCCCAAGAATGGATAAGAGGTGCCTAAGCCGCAAATTTTTAGAGGCATGAGAGTGTGGGGGGAGAA